CCCATGCAGACACCCCCCGACCCTACAAGGAATACCATTTTCAACCCAAAATCAACCCAACCTTGTGACCCTGGATTCATAGAACCCCACCCTGCCCTCGATGCGCTGGCCTCCGGGGCTGGCGCCGGGACTGAGAGAAGGCGGCGTCGGGAAGGGCATGCGGCGCGGCGGCCCGCCAGAGACTGAGACCCGCAAGCGAGCGGGCAGAACCGCCGGTTGGTGTTGCCGATGGCCCTCTGGCTTGGTCTTTGTTGGGAATTTTTTTTTCCCCCAACAAGTTGGTTTTGAGATCCTTTGGAGACCTGGGACCGGGTCTTGAACCAGGGAAGGGACTAAATTATACACAGTTCTTATACTCTCTCTCCTACCTTCTCTCTGCTTCTCTTTGTCTGTTTTCTCTTCCCTTGCTCCTTCTTCCTCTTCCTTTCCCTTTCTTCTCTCTTCTTTCTTTCTCCCTTTCTTGCTCTCCCCTTATTTACTCTGTCTCTGTTTCCCTTTATATTTCTGGCTTGTCATTTCTCTAGGTTTCTGTTTCTCTGTCTCTCTCTGATTGTCTCTCCTCTCCCCCAGCCTCTTTGTATCCTGGCCCTGGGTCTGTACCCCTCCGGCTTTCATTAGGAGGGTGGGATTCTGACCCCCACCGCCACCCCTGGATTTCTAGGGTTTGGGGGGTGGGAGGGGGAAAAGCAAAGGAAAGACAGCCTTTGAATCCAGGCCATCTCCAGAGGTCCTCCCAGAGGGGTCATTGGGGCTGCAGGTGTCAGCTTTGCCCTAGTAACTTCTGTGAAAGAGAAAGGGCTGCGGTGAGAAGGCCCCGCAGGCCCCCAGCCCTGCACTCTCCTCCTCCTCCCGGACTGTGACCACAGTGCTCCCGCCAGAGCCTGCCTCCCGAGCCTCGGATTTGCCGTCTGCCTGTTACGCCCTCATGTGAATGTTCTTCAGGAAATATTTCTGCTTTTAGTTTTATAATAAAATTAGAAATGATAAATATATGTGGATATACACCACGAGGACCGTGAGGCCCTGAG